CTCGCTCGAGCCCGCGCGCGTTGGCGTGTGGTGGACTCATCTCAGTCTGCAGTGGTCTCGTGGTATCGGTTGCTGCATGGCCACACTATTCCGAAGTCCACGCGGGCCAAAGGAGAGGGGCCACTCAACGCTCGACACATCCCTTATATTTATCCAACTGTGAAGCTAAAATGTTGGAGTGGGGAACCCACCCCCCCACCTGAAGGCCGCCATGACTGTGCGAAACCTCAGCGCAGTTCTTTTAGAAATATATGCAGCTTCGCGCGGCTACCGTCGTGTTTTTTTTTTTTTTTTTTTTTTTTTTTTTTTTTTTTTTTTTTTTTTTTTTTGATCCTTGGGCCGAGCGCTGCCATTCATTTCAAACCAAATGAACCCTGGGTGGGCCTTCTCCTCGCTCGACAGTGCTGTGCCGAACATCATCGATCAGTTTCACTACCTTGCCTCGCCTCCGCAGGGCGTCCCATGCACGTGCAGGGGATGCGGTCGGCCTCTTACCTGTCCAGGCGTCGTTGTGGGCGACGCTGGGCAAGCCTACGAGGCCATCGAGGTGGAGCGGATCAATTCCTGCTTAGGTCGCCTTTTCACCAAGCTCGACTCGAGTGAAAACGAAGGTCGGAAACGTTGCGTCACGGTGATGCGGGCCCAGAGGTCACACGTGCTCTTCGGGGGCCACACTAACCAGCGTCTCTGGGATAGGACAGTCTAGTTGCCCAGTTTTATACGGAGGGCCCTAGAAGGCTTCCTGGGAATGCGACTGTTCTTGGTGGCTGGTCTTGTGATTCAGCAACTCTGTGGCGTGCCCATTGGGGCCCCCCTTGAGTGGGGCTGTGTTACATACTGTACTTAGTGATTTGGAATTTGCAACGGACAGACAATACCCAGGTAGGCGAGGCTCCATTATGACGGGACGATATGTAGATGACATTATCCTAGCCTCAAAACTGTGTTGCAGTGCCTGCCTTAAGCGACTGGTTCGGACGGTATACGGATCGACGGTGAAGTTTGATTTCGCCGACCCCTATCCCCATCTCTCCCACAACGGTAATGGCTCCGTATTTGGAGACCACACTATACTTTACTATGTGTCGGGCTACCCATTGGACAATTCATAAGAATGAGGCTTTCGCCTTCGCGGGGGACCTGGGACGTCTCGCGAAGCAGTCTGTGGTTCCTTACTTGGGGCGGTTCCCTCCGACACTTCTGAAGCAACATCGGGCTGAGTTGCGGGGCCGTCTGAAACGGTGGCAGAACCTACGAGTGTGTGATATTAATTGGATGGTTCTCGTGTGTAGCGATGTTATTATGTATCTTCGTCTGGGTTACAGTTCCCAACATAT